GCACAAGCACACACACACACACACACTCACTCACTCACTCACTCCCTCATGCACCCCCATGTACTACTATACATACATACATACATACATACATACATACATACATACATACATACATACATTACATGCATACATACATACATACATACATACGTACGTACATACATACACACATACATACACACACAGACGTACATACATACATACATACATACATACATACATACATACATGCGCACATTCCTGCATGCATGCATGCATGCATACATACATGCCTGATTATGCCTACGTACGTACATACCTGCATACGTGGATACGCATGTGCACGTACTATGTGTACACGAAAACCCTGCATACCCACCCACCCACCCACCTACCTACCTACATATACATCCCAGCATGCGTAGCTACATACCTACATACCTATGTACATACGTACGTACATGCATGCATGCATACATACATATGCACATACGTACGTACCAGCACGAGCATACACACATACCTACAATTGTGCGCATCTACGAATGAAGAAAAAACATATATGTATAGACAGACACCTACGAGTTTGTACTTTGCACATGCATATTTTACAATGCCATGCTGTGTTATGCTGCATGCTACTGTATTCTGATGGTGTTTACGGTACTACAGTACTGTACATATATGATGATATATGCTATATACATGAATTATTGTATTTGTATACATACATGATCATACATGTAGTAGTGTAGTATAGTAGATGAAAACGTATAGACTGTATCATGTACTGCACCGCAGTACCTTGCTGATTAGCGCTTCTGATGCTGACTGGCTGGCATTGGAAGTTGGGAGGACTTCCCGGACGGCACTAAGAACCTTCGGGAGTGGGTTCAACGAGCACTCCATTTTTGCCCGCTCCACCTGCGCTAATGCGTTCTCAGTGTCGTTGCGCATGTTTTACCCGAGCGAGCGACTCGGCAAGTTTTGTGGCTCAATGATTAGGGCCTTTTGGCTAGTTGCCACGGGGGCTAAAAGAACGTTCCCTTCTGTTCCACGCCCTCCGCTTCCTGCCGAATCCTGCTCCAGTCACTCCCTCTCCTTCCACGACAATCTTTGGACCAGTTTTGCTCTGCCGAGCCCTCAGCAGCAATCTTGCAACTTTTTCTGGAATGCAGTTGCCATCGGTGCTAATGGGGATTCTTATCGGGGGGGGGGCTTCTGCTTGTCCCCTTGTGCGAAGCTATCTTGAGCGCTTTTGCTGTTCAGATCAGCTCTGCGCCGAGCGCCGATTGGGGTTCTCATCCAGAGCGCCACTTTATCGGTTTTTTTGACCGTGCTCCGGCGAATGAGCGGAGGCAGCTACGTCTCCATCCGTGACTTTGACGCGTTGCGAGCTCGGGTGCTGAATTTGAGAGCTGAAGTTCTTCGATTACGAGTTCGGGTCTCTGAGTTGGAGCACCAGGGGTTTGATTTGGTGGCACACGTGGAGTCGGCCCCTTCTCGAAATGCCTGTCTTTTTTTACGGGGCCTGTGATGGGCACGCCGAGATCGGCTACTTCGATCTCTTTTCCGCCTCCTGCCAACCGCGAGGCGATCTGCCAGCATGTGGGTAAGTTCCTGCGGCGTGCTTTAGCAGTGCGCCAGCAAGGGCCTTCTGGCCGGGATGCTCTGGATTTGGCGGTGAAGGAGTGCGGTGATCGTGTTCATTCTCCTCCTTTGATCTTTGCTTACTGCAAGAGCCCGGTCAAGCAGGGCCAGGACGTTGGGGACTGTTTGTTCGTAGGCCTCCCAAGTAATGGGGACATCCGGACTGCATTGCTTGCGGGAGGCTTCGAGCTGACTCTTGATTTACGCACGAGCTTGGTGGGCGAACGGGAACAGATTGACCCACTGCCCGGCTACACTCCGCACGGCATGCGGGGTGGCGGAAATGCTGGACGCCTGGACATTGGCACAGCTTGGAGTTACCGGCACCCGTCCAGTCGTTTGCCAGTGGACGTGGTGGAGCAGCCCCTGTCAAGGTTGATGGAGCCACGCTGGGAAGAGATCTTCCTGCGCCACTTCCGAAGACTATGTGGAGCGCAGGCGCAAGTTGGGAGCAAAGAAACCGCGGCCACACCGACGAGGAGGTGCACCTGCTGGCAGGAGTTTTGTCGTGCCAGGAGCGCTGGACACAGCGGGGAGAGCTTAAGATGAACGACGCTTTGGGGCTGCTGGCTAGACAAGTTCTGAGCTGATCGGGATCCGCCCTTGATCCTGAGGGTGCCTTGACTTCTTTTGCGGATTGGGGGGCATGACCATAGCCCTCAGACATGGTGCCCCTTTGGGATATCGGCTTTGACTTGTCCAGGAACCCTTCGAACCGACTTGATCCCGGATGCCAAGCTGCAGTCAAGAAGCTGATCGAGGATGGCTCCTCCTGCTGTCACATTTTCGACGGCAATGACACCTGCCATGAGGGCCGGCAAGTCCGCTTTGGGAGTTCCGTGGCTTTGCGGAGAGATGACGGCGAAGGCATCACCAGCGCTGATTGGTGGATTGAGCACCCTGATACATCCTGGATGTGGTGTCTGCGTAGTTACAAAAGCTTCGTGTCAGCCCCTCGACTTGGCGATGTGACCTTTGCTCTTTTGGCGCAGAGCGGCGGAAGCGGACTCGCATGGCCACCTCTTCAGAGCTTCGAGGTGCACGACATTTCTGCAGGCGCACGGAGCCCGCTCAGCTGCTCACTGTCTGGCATTTTGACGCAGCCCTACCAAAAAGAGGCTTCTGCTAAGCTTTAGCCTCGGCCAGGACGAGTCAGCAAGCCGACCATTAGATGAGTTTATAGACCCCCAAGATCCACCTGCATGGCACGCAAAGCCCGACCCCCACGAACATCGACACAACTAATCATCGTTGTCCAAAGAGCTGGGGCTGTCAAGTTTGCTACACCTCTCGGGACGGTCCCCTCAGTCTGTGCCGTTCCGCCCCCTCAGTCGTAAAACTGCTGGTCCTGCGGTGGTAGGCAGTCCCGGCCGCCGAGCCCCCCAACTTTGAGGCTTGGCTTCGTATGCTCGTCATCTCCTTCGTCGACGAGCCCCATATCTGCACCCCAGTGTTCGTCGGTCCACTGCTCCAGATGCGCCAAGGCTCCTGCCCTCGTAAAGGTGCACGGACAGCGGTTGGGGGTTGGCCGTGATCACCGCATGGAGCAAGTCTTCTGCCGTCTGGGACGCACTGGTGGCGTGGTGGGTTCGCTCAGCTCCAGAAGCTCCGCGACCCCCGGTGGCAGGTCTTCTCTTTCAGCGTGGCTTAGGTTTAGGGATTATCCCGGCATCATTGCAAAAACGATTGTGTACTACAACGTATGGCTTGGCCTCCTTCCCTCTCAGGAACGTAGCACTGCAGGCACTGCCCGGGAACTGCGGGCTGCAGCAACCGCAGGAACGTAGGACTGCAGGGCCTGCATCCTGAGGAAGGAAGGGTTTAGAATAAAGCCAGGAGTAAAATGGAGACTCAAAGTCACGAATCCTACTATTTAACATTTTCGCAGGTAGGTAGACAGGTAGATAGGACCGATCGATCGGTAGATAGGCAGACAGGCAGACAGACATCCAGACAGATAGATGGCGAGAGCACACATATATTATGTATACACCTGTATTCTATGAAGTAGCCCCCAACAAAGTGCATACGTCCCACATCTGATCTGTCTAGTAGCTTCTGCAAACCAGAGCCAGAGCTGCTCAACCAGCCGGCAAACCTTGGCACGAGCACAGAGCCTTCAGACAGCTTTAGAGAGCTCAGATTCTCTGCAGGTCAGCGCAGCCCACAGAGGGCCTTCTTCTGCATCGCCCTCTCAAAGCCTTCTCGGCAACCCCGTGGCCTATGGGCCCCGTGCTATGTCAGTCCACCCCTCGGTACATGCACGGAAGACCACGCGGCTCTGCCTTTGCTCCGGCTGGTCGAGTGCTTCAAGTCACAGCGCAGCAAAAAGGATGCCAGAGACACGCCGCTACGCCTTCAGCTCTTGCCTCTATGACACCCCCTGGGGTTCCGCACGCCTTGAGGGTAGTGTCCGTCAACTGTGGGTTGGCATCAACATTGAGGATGAGCTCCAGTAGAGTAGCAGGAAAGCCTCGATGCGCGAGTGATGCGCGAGTGCTGTTAGCGGGAGCCGGGGCAGATCTGAAATGCTTCCATGCCGCTGGCTATGAGCGCACCTTGGCCCGGAAAGATCAGGGAAGGCTTCGCTAAGGGAAATCCGTTTACGGAGCGACTTACAGAGAAGTCATGTCGAGGCACAAAGCCCTTTGTCTGTGAACTCGGCGTTGTCCTTGAAACTGAGCATTACCTCAAAGACACTGTGCATGCTTTTAGAGATCCTGATGTTCGAAACAGGCTCCACAAGGCATCGGTTTTGCAGGGGCCAACTATGAACTATGCCTCTACAGTTTTCCGGCCGGTCCCGGGACATTTGAGTCTCTTCATCCGTTTCATTCATGCGCAAGGAAGCACTTAAGCATGTCTCTGCGCACTAAAGTTGTCGCGTTGCCCTTGTCAATGTGGACGGGAGTTTGGCAGCCAGGCTTTCAAGCGCCTGCCAGGGACCCTCTGCACAGGGATGTCGTGTCTACCCTTAGCCACTGCCTTGTCTGGAAGCTCGTCGTTTCTGACGATCAGATCGAGCGAAGTCAGACCCTGCCATCGCCATGTCTCTGCAAGCCGACAAAGGAAGCCGTGGTGGCTGTAGTGACTTGCTCTTCTGTCTAGCCGTTCCTCCCCTCTCATAAACCTCGACTGATTTTCTCTAAGTGTTCGTTCATATGCGGCAGTGAATGGACCCTGCGGGTAGAGTCCCTGAGCTCCAGCTGCCTGCCTTTGGCAAACCTTCCGCCAATTTGGCAAAGCCGCCGGATGTGATCTTGCATTCTGTCCACCTCAGATGACTACGCCTGATACTAGTTGTGGATGTCCTTTCCTGCGGTTGCAATCAGCCCTGATGCCACGCAGCAATGTCACGCACCCTTGGAAGATGAACCCCCGCTCAGACCCCTTCGGTCCCTGACCTACTTATGGATCGCAGTCACCGGCACATGCGATTCCTCTTGTGCCTCCAAGGATCGAGAACTCAAAGGCCAGGGCCAACTTATGTAACGTGCCTGGTAAGCCTCACGCAACATGGAGGGTGGTCGGGCGCAATCTGCAGAGAAGTACTGAGTGCTTTCCAGGAACGTATGGCGATCATGACCGTAGACGGTGATGATGACCAGGACGACGGCCATGATTCTTCAAGCTAATGGTGATGGTGATGGTGATGGTGAGGTTGACGGTGAGGGTGAGGGTGAGGGTGAGGGTGAGGGTGAGGGTGCTAGTGCTTGTGGTGGTGGTGGTGGTGGTGGTGGTGGTGGTGGTGGTGGTGGTGGTGGTGGTGGTGGCGGCGGCGGTGGTGGTGGCGGCGGTGGCGGCGGCGG